TGACGGAAACCGTACTGGTGGTCACTGATCAGCTGGTGGTCCTCTAGGTACCGCAGGAGCTGGCAATTTATAATGGATTACAGAAATTTCTTTCAACAGCCTTGGCAAGAGACAAAAACGCGCGTGTTCCAGAGGGAAGTTTTATTAATCTCTCGCCAATGTTGCTAATGTGCTCCGACTTCGCTCTGGCAATTACTCTTTTGCAGGACCTGGAGGCCGTTATACTTCTTTTTGAGATCGCTAGTGTTGTTATCCCCGACCGCCGCTGTGTTTGCCCAGGCCTGATAACACATCTGTTTTTGGCGAGATGCCAGTTTACAGTTGTGACCAAACCAAGGCTGGGATTTGCCACCAATGGGAGCCACAGAGAAAGGAACAAAAAGTTCCATACCCTGAAGGACAACATCGGCGACAGAATCGGCAGCGACGTTGGGATCATTCTGCGAGAAGCAAACCCGGCCCCAAGGGTAGGATGAAAAGAAAGTGCGCATCCCATCCCAGTCTGCTGACTTATAGTGCCATACACGACGACAGCCAGCAAATTGCGGCCGCGGTGAGTAAGTGAGTGGCACCATACTCCGGATTAGACAATGGTCCGAGGAGCCAAGAGGGGCATCTATAGACACTTTGTAATTATCCGGATGTGAAGTCAGCAGAAGGTCCAACAGTGAAGGTCTTCAGTCAGTCTTCGACATCTGGGATTCGCGTAGGCGAGGTGACCAGTTGTGTCAGACCATAGGCCAAGGCGAAGTTGTGAGCAGATCTGCCTGCATGATCGGTAGTGGGCGATCCAAGCCATTCGGAGTGGTGGGCATTGAAATCGCCAAGGATCACAATTTCAGATGATGGGATCTGCTGAAGCACGGAGTCTGTAGCTCGTGATCATAGAGTCGGTCAATTTCGGTATTTCCGCTATGGGACCTGTAGAGGCAGGCGTAGACGCGGGGATGGTCATCGACGTCTACATGCAACCATAAGATGGAGAGGTCCCTACCTTCAAAGTTGCTGAGGCGACGGAAACTGATACCCTCTTTAACGTACACACATACCCCAGCCCGTGGTACAAAGGAATGTTCCAAAGTATACCCAGGGTACTGGAGGTAGGATGTGTCGGCTGGAGAGAATATCTGCGTGTCAGTCAAAAAAAGCAAGGCCGGCTGCACTGTCTGAAGGTGGTAGTGAACAGCAAGGTACACAGTGTAAGCCCCTGATGTTGCAGAAATCCACGTTAAACGTGGCAGGGGGTGTCGTATGACGCTTGCTCTGGCCTCGAGCAGTTTCGGTAATGAGCGCGGTTTCGCCCTCCCCAGAATACGAAGGGCAGCCTCGACGTCCACGTCCAGAAGGAGACAGTTCTGGACATGGACGTCCAGAGGGGGATTCTCCAGCGTGAAAACAGCTGGTACCCCCCTGGGGTATTATCCTATTTAACTGCGCCATCATGAAGAAAAGGGGGTAAAGTACTGCTTCACGCCGGTATTCTGTGAGGTCGTGGTATAGTGTATACGCTCTGGAGTTAGTGAACTTTGTATTAAATTGATCATAATGAAATATCAACAAACAGAAAAATAGTTATGAATGATGAAGGGAATAACAAATAAATTTGATTATAATTTTTGGAGTATGAACGTTGCACACAAACACGAGACCGCTTGAATATAGTGCCAGTTCGTGACGTCACCGCGCTAATCAGTGTATTTGGAATGAATCAACAGCATGGCGTCGATTCATGACGTCATTACCGCTGGCCAGCTTACCGGTGTAAATTTCGGAATACACCTTTTAAGCGCGGCCTAGAGCCGAGGAGCGGAATAGTTAGCTCTCGTGGCCGCTCTGCAGCGCTGTGTGCTGCTTGTGTAATGTTTCATGTTTGCCAGTATTTTCGCCGCGCCTATCCCAGTGTGCGCTGCGCCTTTGACGAAAGAGGATAAAATGTAACACACAATGCAAATAAGCTCTTTGATAGCAGAAATCAAAAGATCGAGTTCCGGCCATTAGTAGACAAATTGTAGTATTTGATAATAGTGCCTTTAGGTGAAATACTTTTTGTGTCATCCTATTTTTGTATCGTAATTTAATCCTTCTGAAATCGGACATGAATATCTGTGTTGTTAATTACAAAATATTCACAACGTGTTAATGTTGTAGCGAGAAAAGAAATATTATATTTTTATACAGTACTTATGATCCTAAAAGTATGACGAGAGGACGTTTTTGTATTTGACCTGCTCATTTTACTCTTTATATAGTTTATGAAGATATATAATATAAATATAGCTACATATATTCTACGATTGTACACATGTACCGAGAATTAACTAGAACTAGCAAATGGTTTTGTTGTATAGTCAACAACACATGAAGTTACCACTATTTCTCAATTGCTTTTGAACTTAATAATAAGCATGATACTTAAACTTGAAATGTAGATGTCTATATCTTCAGTATAAGGCCTATATAAATATGACCTTATGATTATAAGGTCCATACGCTTGTATGCCACCATTTTAACATTAATATTTATACTTAACCTAGTCAAAGGATTTCATCGCATTTTTAAACGATACTAGTCAACGAAATATATTACAGAGAAAATATTCCACTCCCGGCTCCGTATTATTTTTATTAAATAAACACACGTCATTTATTTCCTCTTGAATCTACCGTCGAGCAACAGGTGGAGTCGATCGACCTAATATTTCATTTTTATCATAGCCATGGTGATGAAAGACGCTTGAATTTTGTTGCTTCCAACGAACTGTAGAAATCTGCCGATCAATAAAATAGGGAAGCAAATCGCAACGGAAAATCAGCTTATCATAAATAATGGGCATTCCGACCTATCAATCGATCTTTCTCTTCCTGTATATTTTTAATTCATGTCATGAATCGATAAGCTATATGAATAATATTTATATGTATAATGCTTCAGCAATAACATCATGTATAATAACAAATATAAGAGTTTATGGCCTACTTGTACAAAATTTGTTAATTTAAATGAAGGCGTGTTTAGTTTTTCATCCCATCTTTGTCAATTATTTTGAGTCAAAGAGAGTTGGCATGATACTTCAATGGAATACCAATTGTCAGTGAATGCTAATGTAAAAAAATATCATTTCCCGAGGAAAGGGCTTTTAATTTTTCGCTAAGCTTGCAGAGCGGAAAAATAATTAAAAGAATGTTAAATTAGATACAGATAAACATGGCGTGGGTCCTGTTAATTGAACCAGTTTAGAATACTTTCAAAGCTTTGACTTCCGTTCCGGTCCGACTTTAATCTTTCGGTCTCTGCCTGAAATAAAGAAATTATTTTTATTTTGTTTTTGTCTTAAACAGTGTCATTTGATGAAATACCTGTTACCCACCTTCGCTTTACTTCTGTGCAGGAAATAGTTTTATTATTATACATGTAATCCTTTCGTGAAAAAATATTTTAATTAATGTTGAAAACATCATTTATCAAAAGATCATCTTAAAAATAGCTTCAGACAGACGACGTATTGGGAACTTTGTTTTATAATAGAGAGATCTTTCAATCATGTTGATTGTCTATTAATGCCCCTACTGCATGGGCACAGGCCTTCCTTAGAGATGGAATAGGGAGACTGGGCCTTGACCCACCAAGCAGCCTCAGTGCGGATTGGTGGGTGCTAACGATTGCAGATGCAGCCGGGACCAACGGCTTAAGGTGACTTCCGAAGCACGGAGGAGCTCGAGGCAATAAGTTTTTGGTCACCCATTCATTATCCGATCATTGTGAAAGTTGCTTATCTTTCACAATCACAGACAGAATGCGTTAACCACTTGCGCCATCGAGCTCTAGACCCTCTATCGCTTGATCTTTCAATTGAAACACAAAATCATAAGATGTTGAATTGTTGATGTAACAAAATGGTGATCGCTTATGATTAATTCAGGATAATCAATTGTCAAACGTTTGAAATCAGGGACGATAAAATAAATGACTCTTATAATAAACCACCAAACATTTATACAATTTGCTTAATATGCAAATATCTATCCAAAAATTCATAATCTTCGAGACATTGCCGATGCCACGATGCCGTCTTGGATAACAGCAGATTATCATTAATTACACAACATTCCATACTAAATATTCAAGAAATACAAATCAATTGCTTCCTTATGATCTATTAGCGGCCACTCGCGACTTTTCCGAGTTATCTTTAGTTTTTTGAGAATCCTTCAGAAACCTAATATCCTATCTATATTATAAATGTGAAAGTTTGTATGTATGTTACTCAACCACGAAAAAAAGTACTAAACGTATTTGTTTGTTTCTTAGGTTTTCACGCGCATCACTCATTAAATAAAACAATTTTACGGGTTATATGCACAAAAAGTATCCTATGTAATCCATGCAGGTCATATATACTGAATTTATTTATCTGACGTTTCGCAGCCTTTGCAGGACTGCGTCTTCAGAAATAATAACGCAGCCCTGCAAAGGCTGCGAAACGTCAGATAAATAAATTCAGTTCATATTATATAGTTAAACGTATTCGGTTGAAAATTGGTACGTTCCAAACTATATATGACCTGGATGGATTACATAGGATACTTTTTAAACCGAAAAAAAAAGGTTCCTGTGGGATTCTCCAATAACTAAAGTTTACGCGGACAAAGTCACGGGTGGCTGCAAGTTCATAGTATTAGTAGGACTTCTGCCCTTGTGACAACACCAGTACCCAAAGCTTGGATCACCTTATCGAATACTGGCCAAGTTTCGCCGCTGCCTGCGCCGAATATAACAGCTCCACCTGCAACCTACAGAACCAATTTAACCTACTGCATATTCTTAGTAAAGAATCTTACATAAACGCGTATACAAAATACAATCCCCATAGCGTTTGCAGTATTATCGGGGTGTAAACCGCTAGCACCGAGATAATACTGAGGAAAAGTAAATAATTCCTTCAGCTATTAAAAAAAAATAAGTTTTGGTAGGATTTACTAAGGTATGTGTATCTTTGCAGCTTCGGTGGGGCGAATCACCAAATTCCTGGGTAGTACCGGCACTCCCATCATCACTTCTGGAGGTTTGACCTTCGATTTCGCCAAGCCGAAGCAAACCTGCTTAGACGAGTTCTACATGCTCGTTCGAGCTGGACCCGTGGGGTTTAAGGAGATATCCTACTTCCTGATAAACCTGATGAGACAGTAAGTACCAATTTTATTCAAATATTATATCTGCAGTTCCAATAAAGCCGTGAGTACGCTTTCTATAGCACGTGTTACGGGTTGGTCGTGCAACTTGGTCTTAAACCCTTTTAATAAACTAGGAATAAGCCAAGACTAGTAACGCCGTGTTTTGTTCATACCACTCAAGTGTACATTTGTAATTCAATGAACAAAGACAAAACATTGAGTAGCTAATCCAAGTTTATTTCGTTTATTAATGAGGAGGCAGGTGAGTAGTTACTAATTTTATTCATTATATTTTTTCAAAATCACGATATTTTTAATGCTTTATTTACCAAATTAATAGTGTTTAAGATCATCGAGTCATGTTGTACAGCGGTGAAGTGAAATCAGGTAAGTACTTTAGTGGTAAAATTTGGTTCTTTTTTGGCAAACTTTTTGCAGCACGCACACGATATTCAGATCTCTAGAATACTTAATTGGTTAAATTTGGCATGAGTGTAATAATACACACATCAAAAGTGTCTAGGGATCAACATATATTTTTGCAATAACTTTTCTCCTGATTGATATTAATTAAAATTTTCTTTAAGGATTCATCAAATAAAGTGTTTTCGTTTGTCACAGTAACGATAAACCAAGTCACCTTTGCATTAATAAAGAAATTTGCCATTTTCCTAATAAAGGGATTTTTGACATTTGAACCACTAACACAAAAGTTCGAAAAAAAGACTGAAATAACAGTTTTCTCTAAAATTTTATTGGGTAACTTAAACAATTAATAATCCGTATTTCTACCGCGAACACTAACAACACAAGAACATCGGTTTGGCATACTCAAAATGAGTTCATCCAAATCACGCTGTGGAATGGCCGCCCATGTTCGTTGCAACAACAAAAAAAGGTCTTCTTGCGACTGGATACCCTCCATATTCGGCAGAGCTCTTCTCTGTAGCATATCCCATGCATGCTCAATCGGGTTCAAGTCTGGCGACTGAGCAGGCCAGGGCAGGACATTGATGTTAGCTGCGGCGAGAGTCTGTCTTACAACTCTTGCGGTGTGCGGTCGTGCATTATCATACATTAACTGAAATAAGGGACCGATTTGCACTTGTAGAGGAACGATGACGTCTGATACAATCGTCTCAGCATAAATTTGAGCGTTGAGGTTGCCTCTGATCCAAATCAACTCAGTTCTTCCGCCGATCCAAATACCCGCCCATACCATGATGGTTCCATCACTATAAGGATGGACTTCCTGGCAGGATTTTAATCGCTGTTGGCGTCCAGGGGTTCTCCAGTGTCGTATACGTCTTGTATCCGGTCTCATACCAAAACGAGACTCATCAGAAAAGCACACGAAACGCCATTGTTCTTCTGCCCAATTTCTGTGTTCAAGAGCCCATTGATATCGAATCCTACGATTGTGCATTGCTATAGGTGGTACCCGTAGCGGTCTTCGGGAATGAAGGTTCACTTCATGCAAGCGGTTTCTGACTGTTTGGTCGCTAATTAAGTTCCCTGAAGAGTGATGAAGCCTCACAGCTAACATCATGGCGGTTATTGTTGGAGCTCTTCGAGTTAAGATTTGAATGTATCGGTATTGTCTCCGTGTGGTGCAGCGATACCGTCCTCCATGGCGCTCAGCCACGGTACCAGTGCTTCGGTATCGTGTCCAAAGTCGACTGATAACACTCTGACTTGTATTCAGAGCTAAAGCCACAGTACGTTGCCGGGAACCAGCTTCTATCATTCCCACGGCTCTGAGCATTTCTTCCCTGCTTAAATGACGTCGCCGCTCCATAATAACGTTGGTTTTAATCAGTAGTAGGGAAACAGTAGCACTAATAATGTCTTCAATGCGTTGTATGTTTTTATAGGGAAAATATTGACAGCTGATTTTCATCTTTTACTCGAATTTGATTCACAGTTCCTGATTCAAATTATGAAATGCACCAAAAAGGATCCATATAAATTTATAAAATCATAAATTTATTACAAAGCCACATCTCAATCTCAAGAAATCCGCATAAAAATGCTTGATCCCTAGACACTTTTGATGTGTGTATATTATGAAATAAGTTAAATTATTTTAGTTTAGCGACTTAAATCCTGACATATAATAATATATAGGGAAGCTGGTGGCAGTAATTCTTATATGTTTTCCTCGTCTATCAGATGTTGATAAATTTTAAAGTACTAAAAACAAAATTTAAACAAATTCTGCCATTAATTAATTGCGCTGCAATATCAAATAGGAGCTTGCGAAAAATTTTAAACGATATTATCACTTCTTTCGATAGTCTTAATACATTGTTTTAATATAGAAGATTTTCCTGTTGTGCTTTAGACTAAGTATTTTTGTTCTTCTAATTATTATGATATACATAATAAAAAAATATTACTTCATCATCCAGCAGACTGAAATAATTATTGAAATTATATTAAGAGAGACAAAAAAATACTTCTGCCACTATGCTGATGTTGCAGATGAATCAGATAAAATAACATACCCCATATTACCCTTTTTCTGTACATCCTTAATTAACGTTGCGGTTTTGTATCATTACAAAGGTAGGAGAAACCCGGCCTGGGGGTAGCTTTTCGATGAAAAATTCACATATTTAGGACTTAACGTGTATAACATTAATTTTACAAAAAGCCACTTAGCTTCTTTAGCCTGATTATGTGGTTGCGTTTTGTTTACTAAGCCATTAGGTGCTTCATGATTTTTTTGTTCAAGTACAATAATTAATTTCGAAATTAGAGTTTTAGATTTTTGTTTTAGTGTGTTTCATTATTATGTCCCGCAGTTTTCGAAATGCCTTACTCCTACAAACTTTTTCCTCAAAATTACTAACATGAAAACAAATAACCCAAATCGGTCGATTCGTTCTTGAGTGTTTCTACGCCATATAATATGATATGTAGTACATATATTGTTAGAGGGGGTAACAGAGATACTCAATGAAAATCACCAAAGATGTCTGCACTGTATTATAGTGGAAGATCCTAAGCATTGATTGAGTATTGTGTTTGTTAAAATAGTGTTTTAGGGCTCTGCCCTTAAAGAGGGACATGGGCCCTATTAAATTGTCAGCAAAAATACGTTATAGACAAAAATGCTTGGGTTTCAATTGTTCCAATCATTCCAAAAGGCTGTTTCTATATTATGATACACATATATCCTTTCTATCATACATTTGGACTACTTCCGTGACGCAAGGGGTATGTACACCAGTTTTTAAGGTGTCACCTACTCATAGCGAAAAATATAACTTGGACGATTTGAGAGAGTTGTATTATCCTTCAAGTCATTATAAATTTAATTTTGATGTCCATCCGTGTATCCACGACCGACCGACATGTAGACAGCAAAGAGATTGAAGTAATAGTATGAGATCCCAAGCTTGCCAGACCTTACTTATTTTCTAACGGACAAAATATGGATAATCGAGTAGTCTAAGTGTGTATATTGAACGTATACATACTTGCTAACTTGTCATCATTATCATTAACCTATTAATGGGGCACAGGCCTATGGATGGAATAGAGATATTGGGCCACGACCCACCACGTGAGCCCAGTGCTAACTTGTACTGTAGGTCAATTCTTAAGTATATCAGGTGGCACAGATGTGCAAAAAATTTACTCACTTTACTTACAGTCTGAAACTTGATTTTTATCTATGATATTTAGGAGTCTATTATAATGTATTGTGTAAGCTGCCAGACCAATTGTAAGACGCAAAAATCCGCTTAGCATATTTAAAGTCCCACCGCGAGTAAGACCGCACATGCCCATGAGAGCATCTATCGTCTTTTTAAATGGTATTATTACAATTATCATGTAAATAGTCTGATGGAAGAATAATAAATAAATCGTAAGCCCAGATTAATACTGCCCTAAATCAAAAAAGGATTTATAATTTTTATTATTTTTAAAGCATGTAACTGCTTGATGTTTAAATCTAAAGAAAATATAACTAGAAAAAATTCCACGCGGACCAGGCAGCAGACGGGACTCGAACCCGCACCCTTCGCAATCCGGGCGAATGCACTGACCAATTATGCTACCGCGGCCCTCACGGACCGCGTCGAAATTCTTTCTAGCTATTCTTAAGCTGCAAGGCAGCGCCATCTCTTCGCATTATAGGTAAACCCACAATGTCAAATGAATACTTTTACAAGTATTAAACATTTGAAAGAAGAAATAGCAATTATAGTTATAATTTTTATTATTTTTAAAGCATGTAACTGCTTGATGTTTAAATCTAAAGAAAATATAACTAGAAAAAATTCCACGCGGACCAGGCAGCAGACGGGACTCGAACCCGCACCCTTCGCAATCCGGGCGAATGCACTGACCAATTATGCTACCGCGGCCCTCACGGACCGCGTCGAAATTCTTTCTAGCTATTCTTAAGCTGCAAGGCAGCGCCATCTCTTCGCATTATAGGTAAACCCACAATGTCAAATGAATACTTTTACAAGTATTAAACATTTGAAAGAAGAAATAGCAATTATAGTTATAATTTTTATTATTTTTAAAGCATGTAACTGCTTGATGTTTAAATCTAAAGAAAATATAACTAGAAAAAATTCCACGCGGACCAGGCAGCAGACGGGACTCGAACCCGCACCCTTCGCAATCCGGGCGAATGCACTGACCAATTATGCTACCGCGGCCCTCACGGACCGCGTCGAAATTCTTTCTAGCTATTCTTAAGCTGCAAGGCAGCGCCATCTCTTCGCATTATAGGTAAACCCACAATGTCAAATGAATACTTTTACAAGTATTAAACATTTGAAAGAAGAAATAGCAATTATAGTTATAATTTTTATTATTTTTAAAGCATGTAACTGCTTGATGTTTAAATCTAAAGAAAATATAACTAGAAAAAATTCCACGCGGACCAGGCAGCAGACGGGACTCGAACCCGCACCCTTCGCAATCCGGGCGAATGCACTGACCAATTATGCTACCGCGGCCCTCACGGACCGCGTCGAAATTCTTTC